GAGTACAGGGAAGGTCTCTAACCAAAATGCCTTCCCCATTCTGCCTACATTTAAAAGTCTAATGATGCTTCATCTTGGTTGTTCAGCCCAAAGGTAAATAAACCTCCTTCTGAGCAGAAGTTTATTTACCTTTGGGTTGAACAGCCTTCCCACCTAACGAGGTTTATTTACACCAGGTCTTCTTAGTTACACCTCAGCATGAATGCTGATTATCAGATCCTTTCCCAAAGGCCGACAAGACTCTGGAATATGAATGTAGGAGAAACAAGGAGGTATAAAAAATAAACTATTTTTCTCTCTCTCTTTTTTTTTTTTTTAATAAACTATTTCATAACTTGTCCTAGGGTTTATCCTGATGGCAACGGGAGCAAACTGAAACTGGTTCATGTGACATTCCCTGAGACTTTAAAATAAATTGTTCCAGGTTCTCAATGGGCAAAGAGGGCAGGTGTGTGTCCTGAAGTTAGCTTCGTGGATTTTATACCTTCTGAAATGATACGTGTGCATGTACATTCTTCTGAGGAAACGATCCATAACTTTCATCAAAGTCTCAAAAGGCCTTGTGATTCATGTAAGACTACGAACCACTACAATAAAGACTTATAGGTAACTGAATCATGGGAATGGGATGTCTGGGCTGGTTTTACCAGATAAAGCTACCTTCATTCATATCCCCCTTCGTTAAAGTGCAAAGGAGTGTGGGGCCTCTTCTTTTATTAGACATATCACTAATATATCTCATATGGTGCAAGTTTTTTTTTTTTTTTTAAAGATATTGGGCAGGGGAATGAGGCATGGATTTCCACTCTCATCTTAGAAGAGCCACAGTGTAACTACCTACCAGATGATTCTTCCAAAGATGTCTCTTCTCCAAGCACCAGGTCTAGCTCTTTCTTGACCAGTCTGAAGAAGCCTTAGGGCATCTTCTCTTTCCTGGACAACTTTATCTAATGCATCCATGGAATCTACTACCTGAAAGGAGAATAGAAAGATACAATTTCAACAATCACCTACTACAAAATTCCAAAAAAAAGAGAATGTATAAACACTCTGCTACAGAAAACTTATGATGAATATTTATACCAAAGAACCACTCTGTTAAGTATTTCCTAAAAATCTTTTTGGCACAAGTATGTCTACATGGGTGTCTAGATGACCACTTTCTATGTTTTTAAAAAAGTTTATAGTTTTGTTTAACTACAAATCTATTTCCACATATTAGTTCTGTTTGGAGTGAGATACACTTACATAGATTCTTTTTGGAGACCCAATTTGATTCATGTTATTTCAAAACTCTATGAGCTAATAAGAAGTGACAACAATTTGCTATTTTCATTATATTAAAAAAGACATGTTCTGGTCTCAACTAATCATTGTGTCCCTGACATGCAGACACAGATATTGCGGCCTGCTTGGTAGCTGTTGCTACTACAGGGAAAGGAATAGCAGTCCATCTAGATAAGAATCTCCAAAGATTTATCAAGATGCAAGATGATACTATTAAACTTCTATTTAATTTTACCTCTTTAAGATTTCTATTGTTTTATAATGTATACATTGGCAGAGTTA